GTTATTTTCGCCTTAGTGATTAAAACTATACATTTTCTGGCTAATACAAACAATATTTATAGTTTTCCGATGTAGAGGTGAATTCTGTGCAGCTGCACAGTGATGATAATATCGTACGAGTCGGTCGTATCAAACTTTTATTCAAATGCGATTTGCATTCATCCGACATTTATATTTGTACGCATAAAAAAATCTATTGTCCATTACACCACATTACGAACCCACTTGCTACGCATTCTAGCATCACACCCTAACTCGCAAAAAACCACCTGTACCTTTGTATACAGATTACTCAATTAAAAGCTTGAAAACACATCCACCCTCTAAATTTCTGCATTTTTGTGATAAGAGCACTTGATAAGGATCAGATGATTCATAATAAGTGTTGTTCTTTTTTTTAGATTGATCAGCGTCAAAAAATTAATTAATACGAATAGTAGTAATCGTAATTAATAAATTCAAACAATTTTATTTGTCTTATTCATTAGGTGTAAATTTTACAGTTAAATATTTAATACGAGTATAGCGTTTAATGTAAACTGTTTACTACTCTCTACAGATTTTTTCAGTATAAGATTATATACTAAATATTAAATTATACTATCTGTCGCTGTAAATGTTTTCTGGTAAACTAATTAGCTTAATTTTAATTCGACTAATAAATAATAATAGAATCCAAGATTTAAACATTTAGGGACTAAAATGTTATAGCCTAACGCCATAACTACTACTTGTGTTAACAGCTCAACAAGTCAAATTTTCGAGTACTTAGATTCAGTGAGATGCTGCGCCACGTGCACCACACTACGTCATGGCACGTGTGGCCTTATGTTGAACGGCAAACGGAACAAATAACGTAATTGAGTGTTATGGAGTCAACATACGGTTTTAAAAACACCGAAATAAATCGACCCGGTGCCAAGGAAGGCCCCTAGAACAAAATTTCTGATATACAACTGAGGAGCCGCTCTAATTTTAAAGTCCAATTACGATACCGATAAAGTCATTTAAATTTTATTAATAAATCTTATTAATAAACTATATAAACAACTTTTTAAACAATATTTTGAGATGTATTTATGAAATAAAATAATTTTTTTTTCATAAATACTCCGCTTTAAATTTTGTCCTTTATACATAACAATTAATATCATCAAAATTTATAAATAATTTTTTAGAGAAATAATGGATGTATTGTTTTATAGTTGCAGTTAAACTTCTCTGTTAGAGAATGTCTGCTTTCATAATCAATGTATGATGTGATCAGTGACATAAAGACTTGCTTGAAAAAGAGTACGACCAAGTATTTTTTTTAGTGTAAGAGTTATAGTGTCCATTTATAATATAATATACACACGAGTTACGGGGAAACCGATCGGTTTCATTATGTTATTATATTAAACCGAGCGGTTGTTGTCACCACACAACAAAAATCGGTTCAATGGAAATCTAATTGCGGACATTAAGTCTATTCGCGGGGATGAACCCGGTTATTGTGTGACGGTGGTAACCCTAGTGTGGTATAGCGAGGGGATATGAATACAAGAGATATGCCGATCTATCTATACGTATATGTATAATACACTCAAAAAGGGGGAGTTTTTTCAACATGTTTTATATCAAGTAGGGATTCTGTACGGCGTGTCCACTGATCGACAGGGATTTACACCTACGTGGTTATAGACACGCAATAGCACTTGTCGACTGCGATTATCGTCAAAGAGACGCGTCTGGCCCAAGCAGAATCGAGAGGATTTCATTAATTTGTCAATGAAACAGTACTCGCATGCAGACGATGACTGGCTGGGATGCTACATGGTCCTTTGCCCCAATATATATATTTGTCCCCCAGCATAAATGCGCCCTAATTAATTTACATAAAATTATTGTGAATAAGAAAATAGACATTGTCTAATAGAATTGTAGATCTATCATTGTAAACTAACAGTTATCATCATATTTTTTGTTATATATCCCTAAAATTATGGAGCATTCTGTGACTTTGTTGATAGTTTCATGTCTCTGCTCATATGTATAGCATTACTATCCGGTTAAAATAAATTGAATAGATGCATTAATAATAAATACATTAAGTTGTACACAAATATTACAACTAAATTTTTTAATTATCAATTTTTAAGGCATGTCACGTGACTCTTTATTTACTTCTTTTGGTTAAATTAAATCCCATTGGTAATTATTACCTATTTAAGTGTCGAAAGAGGAAGATGATGGGTTAAAAATCCTAATGGCATAAGCCGCTTTTCAAAATAAAATGATACCTGCCTTTGGTAGATAAATATTTATCAGTATAATTTAGTTATCTAAACTAAAGTTTGTTTTTTTTACGTTAGATTTCGTTACGTTATCATATGATTAATAGACAATAATATATATAAATAAGACTATACTTTATACACAACGTAAATAAAATAACTAAATACATAGGTAGACACTATATCACTTATTATGGTATAATACACCCAGAGAAAAATCTCGATCTATATAATAAATTCATTGTTCAATTTGATAAATATATCATTACTATTGAATATATTATATATTTATCAATATGATAATTTTTTTTCTTGTCTTGAACAATAATTATTTATAAGAATAGTTATTTTGTTTGTATTAATAAAACATTATCATAAACCCTTGATAAAATTTCTCTATCAAAATTGATCGAGGTTTGTCTTTGGGTGTATCAATCAATATAGCTACAACATAACATCTCTCTTACAAGAACATTAATAACTTTATTATTGATGTTATAAACTATTTGGTATAAGCCTAGAAATAAACAAACTATACTTTTTTCTTCTCTTATCCATATACCGTACAAAACCGACCTATCTCCCCCAATTAACTCTTCTGTTTTTTAGAATTCTGTTAATAACAGTTTTCGCAGATATACATTGACAAAAACTTAAAATCAAATTAGAATGTTTAATAGCTTAAATGTTTAATAGATTGTATGTTTTGAGTTAATTCTTTTGTCAATGACTGTCGGGGGATGCAATGGCAACTATCTCCTAGCCCCTCCAACGGGCGTCACTACTACTACCTACTTACGGAAACTGTCGATTAGTATCGAACGCGATTATCACAACCGACACCGATACACTAACACCAGTCTACAAATTAATTACTGTCAATATAATATAAACATAAATGTTTGAAATTAATCATAGACGTATAAATTAATAGACTAGGAACAAGTGCTAATTGTGAAATTGACATGACTTTATATAAAAGAGGATTTACCAAAGATGTTTTAGTAGATAATAACAGTCGTATAATATAACTGTACTATTACAGTTAAAATAATTTTATATGGGTTTTGTTATTTTTATTACATATTACATATAACGCACTGTTCTTCCGCTCAATATTTTAAAATGTTAATAACTCCCGAAGTACTTGTTCAAATGTATGTTGCCTAAAAAAATAAAGTTATTACCCTTATTTAAAATTATTAAATATTTATTAACGATTCATCAATTATATAATTAATAATAAGAAGCACAACGTGTGATGATGTAAAACTAATAAATACCAAAAAGTATTTTCTTAACATAATTTTATTTTAAAAGAAATCAAGTGACTAATTAAAAAAAATCACTCCACTGTGTAGTAATATAGTTATTTACGTTATATAAGTTAAGCTTAATACTCGAATTTCGTTTTTTAACACGCTTATATTAGTTTCACCTGTATGTATGTATGTATGTATGTATGTAACTCTCCAACGCCACGCGTTATCGCATATTCCGTCGTCTAGAGTAGACTGTCATAACGCATTCACCCCTCCCCACGCCTCGCTCACCACACGACGGCACACTATTCCTATAAAAATTTATTTTTAGTTATCGTACCCCTACACGCGTTCTTGTCATCAATATTATATATATATATAAACAAATTTTTATTTTGACTGACCAATACCGCCCGCGTCTAATGCGCCTTACGTATATATATTTATATATTCCTACCACCGTTTATACCTCAGGTATAACGTTAGTCCGACCCGCCCGCCCATAAAATACGGTTATACCAAGTGCATGATACGTTTACGTATTTAAGTCGCTTTACTTGTATATATATACAGAGTGTTCAGTAAGTTAGGAAACAGTTAAATTGTTACAAACGATGAGTACAATAGAAATTCGTTTCCTTATTTACTGAACACTCTGTATATATATATTCTAATTACTATTAAAATTTATTTATTTACACGCTTTATTTTAATTAAGAGATATAAAGTATTCATTCCGATTTCGAGGGATGTTTTCCGTATTGTCATTTTTCGTCACTACCTCCATGTTCCGGGAGTGGGAAATTTGCGCGCCTGCTGCTTTCCTTGGATGTGGTAGCCGTTTCTCAGACTCCCTCCCCGGAATCGAACCCTGATTTCCCGTTACCCGTAACAACCATGATATTGATAGTAACTACTATCATAACATGAAACTAAAAAGTAAAAAATAAATATAGTTTAAAAAACTAAAAAAACACGCTTTTAAAGTACATCGAACTAAAAAGTTAAAAATAATTTTTAAAATAATTATGAACAAAAAATACTAGTATTATTGTGATAAAAGCGTCGGGCGCTCAATATACGAAAAATATGGCACAAAGCACCCACGCTTTTATCACAATAATACTAGTATTTTTTGTTCATAATTATTTTAAAAATTATTTTTAACTTTTTAGTTCGATGTGCTTTAAAAGCGTGTTTTTTTAGTTTTTTTAAACTATATTTATTGCATGTAGTGTGCGGGCATAGCAGGTACTATTCGTAGAAATGCATTTTTATCTACTACTGTTGGTGTAAAACGGTAGAAAAATCTAAATAGTTTATTTAGATATAATTTTATTTAAAATAGTGCATTAGGTGTTTGCACAAGAAGTTTTAAATTTTTGTTTTTCAGTTGTATAAATGTCTACTTATTTAAAGTTAGTAATTTGGAAAAATAACTGTATTAATCATTATGTTTTAGTAGTCATGTTAATAGTGTAATCGTATGTTCTATAAGAGACTTTAAGAACCGAACTGGAGAAGGCAAACGGTCTAGGGCTCAATAAAATCTTAATGAAATATATATGAATTTTTTTATGACTTAGTATTTTTCTGCACCCCGCTGTCCAACGAGGGTTGACGAATCACAGTTCAATTAAAAACCACCACTTTACCACTTCCCTTCGCTCGACCATTATAATGTAATAGTACATCATATGAAATGTATATTTCTATACATAAACACAGTGTAAAAAGTTTGGGGATGTTGGGCGGTTGAGCTATCAGCTGTGGCGGCGACACATCCCCGCCGTCCATTGCAAGGTGGTACACGAGGGCTTTTGTTATAACTATCGCTCCACCCTCAACGCAACCAGAGAAAACCAAAAGCCCGCGCCCCCAACAGAACAGGTTGCACTTGCACACCGGCCGAACCAGCGAGCAGGTCTTTAACGCATGTCTCCTTTGCAGTGCATCTCCATGGAATCAGCAAACGGAACTCAAAAATGCATTGCCGGCTCATACTTACCAACGAGTTGTGCAACTCCTGCTATTGATGTTGCTGTCATGTTAGGCCACTTGGAAAATAATATGAAGTATGACGCTTCGAAGATATCACGGAAAAAGGTAAGCGAAAAATTGCGCTACTGGCTTTTACACTCTGTGAACGTGTGTAATTTTATAATAGAGGACACTTTCGGATTTATACTGTTTCCTTTAAGTTCAAGTATGATAATATTGATTTAATTTGAATTTTAAAATAAGTGAAATTTTTTGTCCTATAAAAATTAACTGGTAATTATTTATTTTTGTTTACAACTATTTAAGTATGAATTCATGTTAGAGTGTACTTGTTCATTTTTGACACGACGGTGACAAATATTTTCAGCAAACATTATAGAAATTATTTATTTTTATAACATTCATAAGCTAAAAATAAACGGTATTTTTATTTTTAATCAATTTTAAAATGAAAAATAGATTGTTAAGAATAGTGCTTCGAGTGGTCATATAGGTTTTTTTACATTTATGCTGTAGCATAAATTAAAGTGGCATTTAGTGGGGAGCACAATGGCACACCCCCTCGCCGTTAGCAATGTTATGCTGTTATAAAAATGTTTGTTGACCTTTTTTTTTTCTGACTCATAATTTGAGCCAAAAAATTTTCATGGCAGGTTATAAATTAAAATTTATTTTCATGTCCCTTCTTTCCTAAATATGCCTCTTTATTCGTGTATCAACTTTAGATAACAAAAATAGTTTTTTGGTTTACATGTTATTACTATTTTTTAGATAGTATTGTCGATGGATAAATTAGGACGACTTGTCTGCGTAGAAGGTAATAATTGTCCAGTAGTTGGTTGTAGTTGTTGGATATTGTTGGTGCCTTTGGCAGAAGACTGTCATGCTTACAACTGTACGATAACCTTATTAGCCGCCGGCACAATTGCTATGCACATGACTTCTGCTACTATACCTGGAGACTCCCTCAGGATGTGGTTTCCGCCTGACCTACAGTTGATGCTGCACGTGCCTTTTCTCACGCCTATCAATATTAAGGGTAATTATTTAAAGTCTATTTTTTTTTTTTAAATCAACGTAGATGAAATTTTGCTATATTTTCAATAATTCTTAATTGAAAAAGCATAATTTTTATTGTTAACATATTTAGAGGATTTAACTTATCAAAAAATGTAGTCTTTAAATGTTATTTTTTATCTAATTAAAATATTCGTTTTACAGATGAGAGAAAATATGTTTGTCACAAATGTGATTATACTTGCGAAACACCGAATCCCTTGAAAATCCATTTGGCATTGGACTGTGACAAACTACCTTGTACCAAACTATGGTCTAGATTAATTCAAGAATCAGACCGCATCATGGACTCTTCGTTTAGGTTCAGTCTAACGCCAGAGTCCTGCAAAACGTCCGAATCAGCATTTCGACCATATTCTCCTTCATCATCAGTCAGTTTAGAGCCGACAACTTCACCGTCATACGATGAAAAAACTATCATTATGGTACCAGAAGAAAAGAATCATGGGGCAGCTATGTTCGATCGCCGGTGTGCCGAAATGGAGACCATTGTTAGCAATTTAGGTCACTCCGAACAGGGACACCTGTGTATTTACTGTGGAAAAGTGTACTCAAGGAAGTACGGACTTAAAATTCACATCAGGTAAATAAAACAATTTTAACAGACTATGTTCTTAAAATTATTGACAAATTAGTTTAATTAGTCTGGCATCAGTAAATATTAATTATTTCTTTAAAAGTGAAACTATTGGACCTTCCAATACAAGGGGATGTAGTGATGTATTTAAGGATAGACTAAATAGGATGAAGATGGGATAGCTTTTTTTTTGATAACATGATTACAAAACGTAATTTAAGAGTTAATGAGTAAAATTATTTTTACATTTTATGACAAATAAGGGTTTTTTGTGCAATTCTGAAAATTGAAAATATTCTCATTTGCATAGAAAATACTGTTAATACAATTGAAACATATTATATAATCATGTTAAAAATGATTTATTTTTGACTGTACGGGTAGTATTACGATAATATAAATTCATATGTGTGTTTTGATATAATTTTTACATTAAAATTATTTATTAATTATTAAATTTACAATAAAATTTAGGTATGCTAAGAAAATTTATCAAATTTTTCACTTAAGTATTCTAAAAGTATTACTTAATTCATTAGAACACGTTTTTTTTTACAAAGTTTTACAATCCTCTTTGTTATCTTACATCATAGCTGGGGAAAGATAACTCATGTTTTGCTCTATTGAAAATGTAAGACTGTTGAAAAAATTTGTAGTGTTAAGCTAGATATTGAAGTATTCTCATGCATATTTCAGAATTTAAATCCATTTTCAGAAGTCGGGAAAAATCATAGAAGTCTTACTCTACTTATTTAAAAGTATAAAATTTTTATTATTTATGAGAAAATGAACATTTTATATTCTAGTAGAAGAGTTAAAGATAAATATTGTTGGTTACGAAATGATATAGGGGACAGAATAATTTAGCACAGGGACATCAAAAAGGTAAATACGCCACTGGAGTGGTGTACTTAGGTCAAAAGTAAATTTTTTAACACTTAAAGGTTTTATATTTTAAGTAAATAAATTACTGTTACATTTTAAGCGAATAAATCGATGCCTAGTTTGTTACTAGTACTGAATCGAAGATTCATTTGATCATTTTAAATGTATAACTCAAATTGATCCAATTTTAAAACATACTTAAGAAAATGTGGTATTAAAAATATCACCCATCAGTAAAAATAGAAAAAATCCTATTTTACGACTTAGTATTTTTTTTTAAATTTTACTTGCTGATTGGCGATATGTGGCCTTAATATTTTTTGAAATTAGCATACATATTTTTTATGGGGAGTGACTGAGAATTTAAAACATTACTCCATAAAATGCGGCAATTTTTTTAGAGGTAAATATATGAATATACCACTGGGCAGAGTAAAGACTTGAATTATTTTAAAATATTTACTATAGATTAATTGATATTGAGAATATTTATTCAACATTATATTAATGATATTATTTTATAATTGAAATGAAAATCTACTTTTTTCTTTTATAGAACACATACAGGCTTTAAACCATTAAAATGCAAATACTGCTTTCGACCATTTGGTGATCCTAGTAACCTAAACAAACATGTTAGATTGCATGCCGAAGGAGATACACCTTACAGGTATAAGGATGAATTTTATCTTTTAATATTTTAATAATATTATTATAACATTCTTAGATGCGATTGTTGTGGTAAAATCTTGGTGCGTAAAAGGGACTTTGACAGACATATGAAGTCTAGACATGCACGGCTGGTACCAAAAGGTTTGTTTAAAATGCATGTTCCAGTATAATTGGTACAACATAGAAAGTCAATAAGATTTTTTAATTTAAAATTATTGTTATTGGAATTGTGATAACTTTCTAGTCCTCGTGAAACTATAAAATAATGTAACTCGAGTCTTTGTAACTATAAAATAATAAATTTTAGATCAATTGAATAATAATTTAATTTTGGATGAATTTAATTTAGATGTTAAGTGACTGATTAATAAAATAAATATTTATCTTTACATAAAATTGCTATATTGAAATTAATGTTATTATACTATATTTAAGTGTTGTTAATTTATGTATTAAATAGAAAAAGTTATTAAATTTTGGTTTTGTCGTTAGAGGAGAATAGTTTTAAAGGCAAATAAAAAATTTAAGTAATTATAAAATTATTGTTTGTTATAAAGGTCATTTATTCAAAATACATGAATATCAAAATACAAACAGTTAACGTCTGCTTGACTTGGTCTTAGCAGCTAAACGCTTGTCACGTTCTTCAGCAATGGTCAATTTCACTCCCTTACTCCTTGGTAATGAAATATAATTCTTTTGGCCTTTACCAATGATAAATACATTGTTTAACCTTGAATAATTAAAAATAAATAAATTAAAGGCATACAACTCATGTATAAATTTAAGTAAACCAAAATATACTTTTACATATTCGAAAATATACAGTTTTAATATAATAATGCTAAAAACTATCAAGTATTAATAGATTGAAACATTAAGATTAAAATCTTGATAAGATAAAGTACAATTTGTTCCCTTGAGAAAATCTCAATAATTTGAAAGAAAAACTATTGTTAATTTGAAATTTTTTTACATGGCTGATAATTTTTTAATTTTATCCTTATCTTTAAAACAATTGTATATGATAATTAAACCTAGTTACTTTATTTTTGTTAATGAATTATTGAATTTAAAATGAAAATATTCATTCATTCGGCTTTAACTACAGTATACGTTTAAATAACAATCAATAGGTTATTGGATTGGTAACTTGCTCATGAATAAATATTGCGGATGAAAAATATCAAGGAGCTTATAGTCAAATTTTTTCTTCTTCTAAAAACATTGATAATTAAATAAAAAACTAATTAGAAATATTTAGTATTAGTAAAATAAGAAAATGAAAAGAATAACATCCCTCGAGTTACAATTAATCAAATTTTTCAGTATTACATAATTAAGGTGGAACAGATTTTACTGATAACTTATGATTTACATTAAGTTTTATACTTTATGTTTTTTTAAATACATTTTTTACACAATAGATCTATATTTAAAATGTGTTTTATGTAATGTGTTGTATTAATTACAACAAATGTTTTAAAAATTAATTTTCTTAAAACTTATTTATAAAATAAATCATCAAATTTTAGTAAAAATATTGATTTTTAAAGTATTTTTTGAAATTACATAAAATATAGAAGTTTCAGAAGTTATTGACATTTTAATATCTAAGCAGGAGGAAAAAAATTGGTCAGTAAATTACTAGAGATAAGAATAATTAGCTTTCATTATAATATATTAATAACTTTTGTATATATTCAAAAAATTGTAGGTATTAAAGCTAAAGCTTCATTGAAAAGCTCTCAAAATTGGAGATAAAATTTATTTAGGCACTATCGAATAGTTAAATTGTTGATGAAATTACTAGAAATAAATTAAAAGTTAGGTTTTATTTAAACTAAATAGTATTCTTTATGTTATTTATTTTCGGAAAATCTGAGAAATAAGTCAGAAAAGTTCTAAAGAAAAAATACCTTGCAACAATTATATTATTTTTTTAATAGGAACTTAACATTTAAAGTATAAATATCAGATACGACTAGTTTTTAATTAATTAAATAAAATGTTTTGATTAACATTACAAGAACCAATTACTGAATACACATAACTTTTAAGAAAGTTTTTCATGGAATACACATAAAACTAAATTAAATTATAACAATTAGTCTTGTAAATGTCTTCTTCTAATTTTTAAAATACCCCAGTTAATTGCTCATTTACTTATTAAAAAAAGCAGCATACCTAGTAGCGAAAATATGTTCATTAGCATCCTTAATGTGAACAATATCAAAAGATCCTGGATGTCTTTCTCGATTGGTAACAATACCAACACGTCCCAAGTTACGACCTCCAGTAATCATACATAGATTGCCTAAATATAACATAAGTATAAATTTCGAACTATAAAAGGAAGTATAAAGGTAACCTGATATATTTATAGTTTTAACTAACCAGTTTCAAAACGAATATGATCTAAGATTTTAGATGATGCAATATCATATCTTATTGTATCATTGACCTTGATATTAGGGTCTGGGTAGCGGATTGTGCGACCATCATGAGTAGTCAAGAATGGTACACCTTTAGGACCGGTTTGAACTCTTTTAACCTTGCACAATTTATACTAAAAAAAAATATATATATACATATTTAATAGCAACTAGACTAATAGTTTAATAATTAAGAATAATACTTAACAGCAAGAATAGTAGTACATTAAAAAAAAAAAAAAAAAATTCCATGGAAAATAAAAAAATAGGCCATTTACAATTTAAAACTTAATTTTACGCAAAACTATTATGGGTAAATTAATGAAACTTTAAGAGGTTTGAAATTAAGCATTTAATATTTATCAAGCTTTAGGATTTAAGAAACGTATCAACCAAATTTTTACTTTTTACAAGAGCGAAATTAAATTTAAATTTTTTATTTAAGCTAATGAAGAATAATCATACCTTTAAATATCATTAATAAAACACCATTTTTCAATAGAAAGCGCATTTAATATATTGGTTGATTGGCTACTTTAAATCTAGACCCTAGTTATATTTGTGCAAAAATCAAAAATTCTTGAGATGTATTACTTTATTAACAATAAGTGATATATATATATATAATATACTGAGAGTCTAAGAAAATATGTTGCCAAATAAATAAAATATAGCTAATATATAAGTATAAAATTTTAATATAAAGAAATATTTGGCCGCAAATAAAACAAAATCAATCAATAATTTTAATGATTCTTCATTGTACAAGTTACTTTTGGCATAATAAACTATAGGAATTTTATAAGCAGTGACTATGTACGATTTAAAAAAAAAAAAATTACTTTAGCTTCTTCAGGAGTTATTCTGTGGATGGTGAAACGACCTTTCACATCATAAATCAATCTGAAGTGTTCACCAGTTTTTTGGATTGATATAACATCTTAAATAATAATAAAAGAAATATAAATTATGTATGATTTTAATTAAATAAAAAAAATTATTAATTGTAATACTTATAATTATATATGATTAAAATTATTTATTATTTCTAGCAAGAATTATGACCTAAATATTTTAATTAGAAACTATAGAAACATATTACTATAATTAAGATATAATAATACTTAAAATAAATTTAATAATTAATTAAGTATAATCAGAAAAGAGTGATAATTTCACTGAGCAAATAAGATTAATAATTATTTTGAAAATTCAAAATTGTTTAAGTTAAATTACTAACCCATAAATCCAGCTGGATAGTTAGGATCTGTGCGAACTTTGCCATCAACCTTAATCAATCTTTGCATGACAATTTTTGTTACTTCAGCACCAGTAAGTGCATACTTCAAGCGATTACGCAAAAAAATTAATAATGGTAAAGATTCACGTAATTTGTGTGGACCAGTACTTGGGCGAGGTGCAAACACTCCTCCCAATTTGTCCAACATCCATGCTTTAGGCGCATTTAAACGCTTCAAATGTTTTTTAGGACCTCTTGCCTATATAAAAGTAAAATATAATGAACACAAAATTGCATTATCATTTTATTTTCAATAAATCATATATAAATTTTTGAAACGAAAAAGTATTAAATTTAACAGTTATATTATAATTTAGTAAAATAAATAACTATCTTTGATCAAAGTATTCAAATAATTATCTTATTCATAATTATTTATCCTCAGTAAAAGTATCAAAATAGGACTTGTAAGAAAATAAAAAAAAATTACTTTTACAGTTTTAATAATATGAATATTTATAAAAGAATTATTTTTTGTTTTATTTTGAAATGGATAAGCTAATATTGCGATTAATTTGGATAAAAACTTACCATTTTAACAACGTTCAATCAGTAGAAAAGAAAAGAACACTAGAAGACCATTCCGACTCACTAACACATACAACAGATAGTAAGCAGTTTATGTTTCAAATTTAGGTTAGGTTAAGTTTTTGTAAACATCACATAAATTTCAAAGATGTTGTAGACAAACTTGATAAGAAATTATTATCATTAATATAAATTCTGTGGAGGCAAATTCAAAAATAAATTCTTGATAAAGCAATATTAAAGTCATTGAATTCTCATGATAATTTGTTCTTATTAAACTATTTTAAATGTATTTGGTATGAAGTATATAAAAACATAAGTACCTTAAAATGAATGAATCAATATTGTTTTATTTTAGTTCACAAAAAAATAAAAAATATTAAAACACTTGATAGTATCACCGCGAGTCGTAAGATAGTAAAATTATTTGAGGCTAAATCTAATTTTTCTCTTTGATAAAAAAAATATGAAATCCTACACCTATAGATTTAAACATCTTAAGTTAATTTTTTTTCTAATAATATTAAAAGTTAAAAATAATAGTTATAGTTTAAATTACTTTCTGAATTTTTTTTTTTATTAATAAAACACCATAATAATGATGAAAATTTGAATTAAAATATTTTTATTGATTTTAAGTCATTAATAATAGTATTATCTAAATTGTTTTAAGTAAACTCTTTGAAATGATTCAAAAACTTCTACTTGTCAGTATATTTTCAATAAACGCATCAAGTTTATATAAATTAGTGGAATGGGTCAAAAATTCATATATTAATAAAAATATTTTATTTTAGTATTAAAAAAGTTTCACTTAATGTACAATGGAAATTTTCATATATATATATATATATGCATATAAAAATTCCCAAAATTTTTTTAAGATTGAAGTTGCAAAAAGTTATTTTTCAAGTTAAAAATTAATTTATGCTTAATCTAAACAGATAATAAGGGCTTCATTTTGGAATTGTGCCACCCATAAATTTGCTTATCAAAATTTTTTTTTTAATTTTAATTATTAAAAAAAAAATAGGTCTTGAACTTTATAACTAATATCACTTCATATTTTACAGCTGCCTGGAATAATTGCACCCAATGCTTCTCCTAAATGTGGCCCAACCTGCTGACAACAATGAAAATATTCAAATAGCGATAAATTTCATTATTTATTTACTCTACAAATATAGCAAACTATTACCGGTTTATGAAAAAAAATTAAGATAAATATTTATTATATTATTACACTTAATACATTGTCAATTTTATATCAATTTATTTTAAACGTATTAGGTAAACAGAGAAAATTGATCACAGTAATTATTAATATTTTTTTTATGACAAAAAATTAGCTTTTTAGGTCATTCTAATTTAATATTTTCACAATATTAATTTTTATATTTATATTTATTTGAATAACAATACTTAATAAACTAAATGATTAAGTATCAATATCTATCGAAAAATTGTCTAACAAAAATACTCGTTTTCATCTGTCTGAATCTCGTTTTTATTTTGCTTGATTCTTGACATCTCCATTATCTGATTTCAAACGTTTTTTTTCGCGTATGTCAGCCAGTGTTTGTTCAATAGATCTTAAATCCTTTTTATTTTCACTTGGAACTACAATAAGAACAAAAGTTAAATTATAAATTATATTAAATATTATATAAATTATATTAAATTATAAGTTTAATTATGTCATCTTTAATTGTTACATCATATGAATTATATAATAAGTACCAATATGAGTTGAAGAATATTTTTATTAATAAGATTAAACGTCAATTCATGTATAAAACATAAAAATTTTAATTTAAGAGTTAAAAAAAAACTTATTTACAGGAGAGTGATCGGCTAACTATGTCTCACGTAATATCTTTAAAAATACAAATGTTATAAACAATTTTTTTTTAAAATCATTATGGATCTTTGATGAGCTGTTTCACAAGAAAATTTAAATTCCTACCACCATCCCTTATGCTTAAAACTAAATTTAATGGTTAAAAAAAAAAAAAAAAAAAAAAAAAAAAAAAAAAAAAAAAAAAAA